GTTTTATAGCACATTACAAGCTTTCCAAAATTTCCAAGAACTCCTTGAGATCATTCTTGAGCAAGGAGAACCGAAGGCAAGAAGTTAGGGTTTCAAGTTGTTTTACAAGGCAGAATTTGTGATGCACAATGGACCAAATCACATAGCCATGTTGCATAATCTCACTTTTCAGGCTTCTAACTTGCAATTCACTCCTTAATTAAATGTTTACACAACTGATAGAACCAGTCCAAGCATTTGAGCCATTATCCAAGTTGTATTTCTATTTTTGGAAGAAAGTTCACAATTCCATTTTGGAAAAGTGGCTTTAATCATAAAGCCCACTCTCCTTGAGCATTGAACTTGTTCTTTCTGCACACATAAACCCTATAAACCAAAAGCAAGCATGTCTAAAGTACTAACCACTCTATGCAACCATGTACCATACCTTGGAACAAGATGTTTCAACATTGCTTCAAAAACAAGTAAAGATGCTACAACTTGAGATTTCAAATTCTGGCTTGTTGTAACATACAAGACCTCTTGCCTATAAATATACAAGTTATTTGCAAGCTAACATACGCATGTTCAAGCCCTGAAACCCCCAAAGCACAGAACCACCAAAAACATCTCAAAACTTACCATTTCTGATTTTTGAACCCAATCTCTAAATTTGCTCGTGCATTTCTTGGCCTTTTACTTTCAAAAGATTCTAAATAACATATACAAACAATTCCAGCACCTGCAACATAACTGTAACACCTCCATCACCATCCACCATTTTCAAAAACAGCACCTTGCACCTTGACTTCTCCAACACGATTCAGCCATCCATAACTCAAGCTAAGCATTGCATTAGTTTCCTGGAAACTTGAGGAAGCTAACAGGATCATTACAACACCTTGAAAGTTGCTCCAACTCAAAACACGATACCCTCTTGCAAGGTGAGTTTTCTGACTTTTGAACTATTCATATAGGCATTGTTAGGATTCCATTTTCAAAGATAAAATGTAGATATCATTTCCCTGAAGCTAACCATGTCCATAATTTTCATTTATGTTGCTTGAGCTTAGAGAATTTTAAGATTGAAGTTTCTGGAAAAGTTAAGGTTCAGATTAGGGCCAATAAAATTCATGTTTGTCTTTGATCTATAATTTTAATGCTTTACATTTCTGAAATCGTGAGGAAATTTTCCACAAGATTCATGTTTACACTTTTGCAAATGGATGAGAAATGAACAAGATGCAAGTGGTCTGGCTAGGCGCGAGGTTGAAGATGAAGTTGTCTTCAGGAAGCAGTTTCTAATATATATTTATGCTTTTATTATATGAACGGATGAAACAGGCCACCCCAGTGGTACAAAAAGCGCGCGTGTATTAGAAGGTCCTGGGTTCGAGCCCCAGCGAGACCTTTTGCAATTTTCACAATTTTTTTATTTCTTTTTTTTGTTGAATCAGGCAGCACTTGGGCGTCAACCCCCTGGGCTTAGCATTTTTGCTGAATATCACCCCCTCTGTTTGCTTATAACACACAACCCATCTCTATTTTTTTTTTCTGATTACAAAAACAATAATGGGCCAACTTCAAAACTGTTTTTTCTAACAAACCTCCCAAATTCAACTTTAACCCCCCTGACTTTATTTTTATTTTATTTTATTTTATCTTTTTTTATTATTATTATTATTATTATTATTATTATTATTTTCATCAATAAAAATCCAAAAAAATATTTTATTCATTTACATCCAATATTACTTATGTTTTATTTTAAAACCAAAAACCCTAAAAATCTTGCTTGTTTAATTAAATTAATTTCTTTCTTTTTATAATTAATTTAGGTCAAATTCTTCTTAGTTTAATTAAACTATTTTCCTTAATTAATTAGATCAAAAAACCTTTCTTAATAAAAAAATACAAACAAATTCATACTCTTTCCCATTTATTCATGCTTGTACATTATTATTTCAATTCTTGTGCATTGTTCAATATGGTTGTAATAGTTAATTAGATTTAAATTCTTGAAATCCCCATTTGTAAAAATGTATATCTCATCCCCCAAATAATGTAATAGCGTGGAATATTTACTTTCCGCAATTTATCGCTTTATATAAATGCTAGTAATTAGGGTTTGTATGGAAAGATAAAATCAATGCTTAGAAAACCCTAATACAAGACAAATCAAGCATGAAAAAGATACACTTGCACACTTTGTACCTCTAGGGTTAACTCCACTTGTTGCCTTGATAAATAAATGGTCATAATACGCATTTAAGACGTCTTAGCAAAAACAAACAAAAATACAAGATCATAGTCCCTCGATGACGCTCCGAGCATTGCCTTACAAATGATCTTAGTCCCTCAAAGAAAATGCTAAGATATCTTACAATACTGCTATTCATGACTATACGATGACCCTCGCCCGTCCCTTTTACATCCAAAGATAAGGTTACTTACCAATCCATGGTAAAATAACAATGTCAAAGGAAAGAGGAAATAAACAAGAAAGACTTTTGAGTAGGTAGAATGTTTCTAGTTGCTTGCTCATTTTCAAATCAAAATATCCTTGCTATTTTCAAAACAAACGCCAACACTTCCAAAACATCTTTCAAACTTGAAACATTTTCAAAAGATCAACACTTTTTATACGTTCTTACGAACGAGAACTATTACAAAGTTTGCCTAAACGATGGCGCCTTTTCAAAATACTTTCAAAAACCACACAAAGCACATTTTCAAACAAAAGCAAGTGATCTAGCAAGCAACTAAGAGCCCATAGATAACTATGGTTGAAAAGGGTGCTAACACCTTCCCTTTTCATAATCTACCCCTCAAACTCAAGAAATAATCTTAAAGGTCTTTCCTGTTCTTTTCAGCCTTTTCTTTTGGATAAAAGAAAAGTCGATGGCGACTCTTGCTAACCGCAACATTTGTGATAAAACACAAAACACCCAAGTCATTTCTCCCACCGTATCACAATAGCACATACGCTACCTGGAGGTATTTTAATAGTTCCATGTCTCTGGTTTGGACTCCCCCTTCATTTATCCTGCAATCAACTGTGAATAAGTTTTTGCCATCAGATGAGTGACTCCAACTTCTCTAGCTAAGTTATCGGCGTCACTGATTTGAAAATCTCATGGGCTTGATCATCCCACGTAGCTTGAGAAATTGGTTGGAGTTCTAGAAGCTCCTCTTCTTGGTGTTCGTACCATTGTCTTATTGGTTTCATGTCCGTTACGCTGTCCTACAGAGTTTCGTTTTGTTGTCTGAGAGCCTCCACCATGGCTAATAGTTGTGCCATGTCTAGGGGATCTCCGCCAGTTGACATTCTATTGAATGTGATTCAAGGTGTGGCCTAGGATAGTTTTACCAAGGCCCCGTGATGGGATCCAATGTTCTTGAATAGAACAAATAGTCGGCTGACTTCCTCTCTGGAGGTGAGGAAAGCCACAAAAGTAGGTTTGTAGGATTATTGGGGATTCATGAGCTACATCAGTGTGCGTATTGTCCCAAGAGAAAAATGTTTTGCTTATCCCTCTTGCGGGAGCACCCTTATATAGTATTCCTCTTTTGCATCATCAAGAGCCTCAGTTAATAAGTGACTCTTGAGTTCCATAACTCTGTAACCTCTGTCGTCTCTATAAATGGAGGGGGTTAAAGATGTGTAACATTGCAGTAAATATGTTGTCAGCGGTTACGAGCATTAATGATCCGATTAGATGATCAGCCATGGGCATGCGGCCTCAGTCTCCACCACTAGTCCGGTCCAAGGTACATACGGGCTGCAACCCGGAGGCATGGTGATTGTCGGATATTCCTTAGCCAGGTTGCACCCCGGGTAACTTCTGCATCAAACCGACTAGTGTCTTCATCACTTCTTTCACCGATTACACTGCCCGATCGGGCCTAATATTTTTGGGATGTACGCAAGTAATTTAACAACAAAATGAATTTTTAGTTAGAAGTGATTACAACATTGGGACAATGCTTCCATGTAAGACCGGTAAGATGACATGTTCCATATTTTCTTTTCATTTTATTAGTCGCGTCTATTTCGGTTCTTATACATATGTTGTTTGGGCGAACTTTTTCTTCCTATGCATATTTTTGTTATAACAAATTACATATCCTAATATGCAGGTCAATATTCTTTGTTGGCTACCATTAAGAACCTTTTGTTGAAGATACTGAATAAGTTTACGACCTTATAAACATCAGATAGATACAAGAATGTGTCATGATGGACACTAGAACACGCCACAATGACATGGGAGCAAGGCAGGCAGAAGGCTTGAAATTTTATGCAGTTACACCAACCTTTTTGTAGTTAGACACAATAATGTTCTATTGTCATCCCTCGTTGTGGTCCATTGTCTCCTAGAAACTGAAATCAAAGTTTTAACAGTTAAATCTTATAATCAATCAAAAGTGTGTTAGATTTGAGAGTTTCCTCATTCACCACCTTGATGTTATTTTCAATAAATAATTGCCTTAATTCTAACATTAAACTCTATTTTGAACCTCCGTTAGTGAATAATGTTCTAAACCTATGATAGGTCGCTCTGACCAACACGATTATGAGTAGGTTGAGTGACTTTAAATATAAAGTTCATTAGTTTCACAAGATTTGTTGTCATGTGACTCAATCGTCGACCCTCGTCAAATTCTCTTATCCACTTATCAATTTTAATGTTATTCACTCACCTTAAAGCTTATGCATTTGACAATTTTATTTCTTCGCGATAGTGTTATAATGATAGTTGGTTTAAAACATGCTTTACTTTATAAACATAGTTAATTTCAATGTGTAAATTTAATCGTAAGTTATATCCTTTAAGCTTTTTAAAATGTGAGTTAGTTCGGATATTAGATTGATAAAATTGAACAATACCAATAATTAGGTAATCATGTCTCACTTTCTAGAGAGAGATGATCCCCTTTCTCTCTAGAAAATTGTCTCCTAACTTTCTAAGGTTTGGTGGTTTCCTCCACCTCCATGATGGTCCTCTTATTCCACATTTATGGTGGTCATCTCCTCCTCTTTTGAGAGAAATTTTCCCTCAATCTACCTTCATTCTCATGTTCTCACCATAACTAAGTCTCTTACTGGTCACTTTCTCTCTCTACCACGAACAACCACCAAGCTTCCCTTGTTGTTTTTGGGACCGCCACAACCACCAGAAAATAACAAGGTTGTTAAGGGGCTTCTTCACATTTCAAACGTAACAATGGTGTATGCTTCTCTCTCCCTCTGAAGCTGCTCCTACACCTTCGCTAACAATCCTTCGGCCGCCATCGAAGCCGCCATGGTTGTTCTACAATATGAAATTACTTCTTCTACGTGTGCTATTGAATTTCAGTTATGTGTTTTTGTCTTTTAGGGATTAAGATTGTACTCTTGGTGTTTGACAAAATACTTCAAAAGAGTTACGTCCTTTAGCATGTTTATGTGTTTATTGGCAACTGAGGAATCTTAATAGTCCAACATCCATTTCAACATTATATCTCTAATCATCTTTTATATTCTAAACAATCAAGAAAGTTGGACAATATTAAAGACCAAAGATAGTCAAAATATACTTACACCAGTAAAAAAAAATCACTTATAATTAAATTTGAAAAAAGACGATGAATTCTTACGCTCACATTGTCATTAATAGTATTTGCAAGAGAGGGGATTAAAATGTTATTACTTTTGATTTAATCGTACCTTAGCTTCTGAACGATTTATATATAATGTTTCTTAGACTATGTAATGTTTTCTCTTAAATATGTTTTTAAGCTATATATGAAATATGTTCCATTTTAATTGCCTCAGGTTAATTGTAATTGTTGTTAATTTGACTTTTAATGAAGTTAAATTTTACTACATTAAAAAATTGAGATAATTGAATGCTTTAGTAAAAATATTCTAGTGGTGAAGGTACTCCATCATCCGTTCTCAATGGAATCATTAATTTCAATAAGATGGTACTTGAGTTATTTCTACAGTTTTTTTAAGTATTTATTTTTGTAAAAAAAATTTGCTCCTTTTTATTGTCACTTTAAAATAATAATGATTATATTTTTGTCAATATTATCTTTTATTATTTTATTATAGAAAAAAATATATTGAAATAATTAAAAGTTAAAAATATTATATACAAAAGAAAAATTATAATATAAAAATTGTTATTATTATAAGCTTTCTTAATATATATATATATATATATATATATATATATATATATATATATATATATATATATATATATATATATATATATATATATATATATATATATATATAGTCAAGAAGTGACCATTAAAATGGAAAGGAGAGAGTAGTAGTTTGTGCAGGGTATCTAGGAGTATTAAAGATCGTATATGTATTTTCTTGTACCCTATGGGGCAATTGTAGGCTACGAAGAAGGAAGATCCGAAGAGAGAAAGAAAGTGTGATTAGATGGATGAAATGCAATGCACCCTATCTATCAATCCCATCTTAACCAAACCACATGATTATTATCATCTCACCACAAACATCACAACTACTCCACAGACACAGTGGCATAAATGGGTCCCTTCTCTATCTCGACACTGGAGGATGCTCTGCTCACTTCAGCTGCATTGAAAAGACTATACACTTGTTCTCTCACAAAGTGTCAACGCCGTTAGATTACATTTGATTTTACTACTACAAATATAAAAAAGTTGTTAACTTGTCCTTGTCAACTCTCTCACTACATTTTTTGTGTTATCAAACATTTCTAAATTAAATATGCTATACGTCTTAGAGTATACATTAGCATCAACTCCACTCAGGTGAATTCTGTGGTGAAGAACGAGATATAAGTACATATTAATATTTTTTATATGTTAATATTTATTAATCAATTTCATCACTTTATTAATTAATATTTTTTTACTTCAATTATCAACTTTATTTTAGTATATATTTTTAATATCTAAGATGTAGGTGTAAGAAATGATATTGGAATAACATGTAAATATAGTTTTAATCTGATTGTGATTTAAAAGCACTATCTAGATTGGTTTTGCTAATTGCAATGGTAGATCCAAAATTGAAATAATCTCTATTTGTTAAAAGAAACAAACAGAAAGATCCAACTCAATGGGACCAACCTAAAATGGCTGAATTTCCGAAATCACTGTATCCACCGCACCACCTCACAGAAACATACATCCATCATTTGTGTCGCATTGTAACAAAGGGAGACACAAAATAATGTCTACAGATAGGATGGAGATACCATTAGATAACAATCCAATAATATACTACTAGACACACACTATGAATGATTGTGATCAAGTAAAGAAAAAAATTGCAGTTTAATTCAACAATATTACTATCATTCTGAAATCTTTTTATTACTATTTCCAAAATATAAACACATATAAACATATGTGATGAGAGTACTGATAATAATATATGATAACATATAATATATCTATAAACTAATCCCTCTATGGTAATTAGATGAAAAGGGATCAAATGAAAATTAAAACTCATGTTCCATTGGTATAATATTGCATAACTTAGAGGGTAGGTTGAACCAAATTATCACCATTGTTGATCACATGATATTGCAGCTTGAAGTATTCTCATCACTGAAAAAGTTTGAGTAAGGATCTGGAGGAGGATAAGGGTATGGAGGGTACATGTAATTCACAGCTGGTGGTGGCCTTGCATACATCATTGGTTGCTGGAACCTTTCGTTTCCAGCCATTGCACCACGTTGTTGGTTCATCATAGCAGCTTGCATTAATTGTTGTTGTTGATGTTGCTGTTGTTGTTGTTGTTGGTAAGGATTTCCCGGCATCATTTCCGATCCCGGACCACCGCCTTGAAAGCCGCCGCCTGCAGGTAGACCTTGAACGGCAGGCAAATTACCACCCATTTGATTCATTGGCATACTCATTTGTCCGGCATTACCTCCCATCATAGAAGGGTGAGGATGACCACCGCCACCTCCACCACCACCCATAGAAGGGTGAGGATGACCACCTCCACCACCGCCGCCGCCGCCTCCACCACCACCCATATAAGGGTGAGGATGACCACCTCCACCACCGCCGCCGCCTCCACCACCACCCATCATTTTTTGAAATCCATTGTTCATAGCTTGAACATTACCACCACCCCCACCACCCATTGGCATGGAAATACCCTTTATACCCCCAGTATTCTGATTATTACCATTCTTGTTTCCTCCACCTCCACCACCACCATTTTTAGCCTCTGGTAAACCGCCGTTAATTTTGTTTCCTCCACCACCGCCCCCGCCATTCTTTCCTCCGTTGCCATTTCCACCACCCATACCATGGATTTGGACAGGCATAGGTCCTCCACCACCACCACCACCACCTCCAGGTTTCTTCCCATTGCCTCCTCCTCCACCACCACCACCACCACCACCACCTCCGCCATTAAAATTGGCAGCCTTCATAGCATTCATAAGCTGTGGATGATTTCCATTCATCATCATGTGAGGCATAGGCGGTTTCATCTTATTAGGTGGTGGTAACTCATCCATTTCATCATCAAACTCATCATCAAAATCTTCTTCATCATCAAACTCATCATCATCGTCAAAATCATCCAACTCATCGTCACTAAAATCATCCTCATCTTCAGGCAAATCAAACTTAACACCTTTAGCATTCTGATTCGGATTCTGATTCGGCATCTTCATCCCCTTAAACTGTGGCATATTCAGATCTTGAAACCCTTTCATCTGTTGTAGTTGCTGCATCTGTTGCTGAAGCTGTAGCTGTTGTAACTGCTGAGGAGTTAACCCTGGTGGAACACCTTTAGGTTGGTTACTATTTCCACCCTTCTGGTTCTGATTCTGAATTTGATTCTGACCTTTGTTGTTGTCCTTGTTTCCACCACCTTTACCATTATCAATTTGCATGTTCTTCAACTGATTAACAAAATTATTCTGGTTGTTGTTGTTTGGTTTCGGTACACTCCATAACTCTGCGTGTTTTCCTGATTTCGAAAGCTTCTTGATGAGAACGTTAGGGTCCACATTCCCGGAAACCGTCACTTTCCCCTGTTCTGCATCTATCTCAGTCGTAAACACTCCTGTCATACATTAATCAACACAAATCATAAGACTTTGTTTTTGTTTTACTTAGGATGATAATGATTAGAATTTAGAAGCATAATGTTTTTTTTTTGCTAAAATAAATTATAATAGGTGCAAACCATCAATTTTCTGCAAGATTTTCTTCACTTTATGTTTACATCCATCGCAGTGTATGTTCACTTTAAGAACAGATTTCTGAAAACATAAGCAAAATTATGATAAGTTTCTGAAATGGGACAAAACAAAAGATAAAAAAAGAAATGGAGAATGTGATGGGAGTAGTACCTGTATCTTCAAAAATTCTTCTTTGCTCATGTTTTATACAGTGCTAGCAGAAGAAAAGTTTGTAACTTGTGATAAATGAAGATCTGGGCAATAGAGGAAGAAGGGTGATTATGATTATAGATCTGAGCAACAGAGGGCAAATGAGGGAAAATAAAAGAAAGGAAAGGAAAATGAAGTTTCTTGTTTGGGAGGTTTTTTAGTTTAAGAAGAGAAAATAGAAAGAAATGATGGAGAAAAGAAATGGTTATGATTTGTGAAGTCTCTGAGCAGAGACAGGAAACCTAACGAGCAAGGCTCAGAGTTGAAAAGAGAGAGAGAGAGAGAGAGAAAAGGGGGTAATGGTGTTCCAAGAGTTTGATCTTTGTTTGGTGCCTTTATTTATTGGTGTATTTTAGAAATTTTGAGTGTAATGGTAAATAATTTAACCGTGGCCATGTGGGTTGTTTGGCTTGGGTAAGATTTCATCTTTTTTTTTTTTGTTTTGGCTTGACTTGAAGAGTGTGAGGTGGGAATACTAAAAGATCATGATGATAAATCACAATTGACAAGAGTGGAGAGAGAGAGAGAGTGTGAGAAGTGCTACTAGTACTACATCATATCTGATGAGAGATTTGTTTTTTTAAAGTTTCTTAAGTATTACTTCATTTTCAAGAGGAGTGATCTATTTGAAATAAAATAATATTTTAAAATGAATGATTTATTTTAATTTTTAATATATTTTTTTAATTTTATCTTTTAATTAATTAAATTTTTACTATTTTCAATATATAATTAGGAGTATTATAATAAAAATATTATTATTTTATTATTATTTTATATTTTTCTTAACATGTGTGAAATAATATAGTAGATCACACATTATGAAATGATAGGAGTAATTATTATGATCAGTAAAGTAAGAAGCAAGTATTTGACTAAATAGCAACTTGTTTGGATCTATTTTTAACATCAATTTAGATGATACATAATACTCTCTATAATTTGGAATAAGATTCTCTAACTTTCAATTTTTTTTTTTTTTAATTTTCTCTCTATCTCTCTTATAATTTATTTTCTCTCACATCATTTTTCTTTCAAAATAAATATCGTCTATCTTTTGTCTTATTCACTATTTTGTCTAAAGTTACTCTAACTTTTCCTCCATGAAATTAGAGGATCATAGCCCCTATATTTTCCATAATAAATGGTGTTTTTAGTTTTTAAAGAGTTTTTATTTGTAACTATCTTCTAAGAATCTTTCTTGGTTATATTTAAGCAAGTTATTTTGTTGAAACTGTCACTGTTGTGTTTGGATGAAACTTTTTTTGTGTAATAGATTTTCGACTAAAGACAATTTGAATTGATGTGAGATCTTTAACAATAATTTTTTAGAATGTTTAGGGATTGTGGAAATGAAAAAAATTTAAATCATCTATTTTTCGGGGATATGGTACATCTTATGATAACATATAGCAACCAGATTGCAAGATAACATGGTTAGGTCAAATTCTACAATTGACTTTCTTAATATTTTCTGCTTTCATTTCATCATTTTCATCAAGTGCATATTGTAAGAAGGTGTAATTCTTGTTCTGTCGAATAACGTTGACCATACGACGAATTAGTGGTGTCAAAAGTATGTCGATCTAGCTAGTTGAATAGGTTGTCAGTTGTATTCGACAGAGTCGAATACAACAACTATTGTAGTTTGTTGAAATATAGTTTTGGGTCAAAGCTTGTATATAGTCGAATTGGGCATAGGCTTTGCAAGTCTATATAAAGGGTTGCTTAGTTTGCAACAAATAATACAATCACAATTCAGTTTTATAATTCAGTTTGAATCATTAACAAACTTCGAAATATCTCTCTTCTCTCTCTTGTTCTTCTTCTTCCTTTATCAATCATCTTTCTTGAAAACTCTTTGTTCCAATAAATTGGTATAATAGAGCTTGGTTGCGATTAAAAGAGAATCTAATGGCAAACAGAACAACAACGTCAACACAATTTCCAGCTAATCTACTGGTTTTCAAAAGTGAAAATTATCATCGATGGGTTGCACAGATGAAGGTTATGTTCAGATTTCAATATGTTGTTGAAATCTTGAATGATGGAGTATCAGAATTGGAAGTAAATGCGATAGATGCTCAGAACGCTACGCACAAAGATCAAAGGAAGAAAGATGGTAAAGCATTATTCTTAATTCACCAGTGTGTGGATTTTGATTTATTTGAGAAGATAATTGAAGCATAAATGACAAAAAGAGTGCGGGACAAGTTAAAGAACTTGTATGGTGAAGATGAAAAATTAAAGAAGGTGAAGTTGCAGAGATTGAGGAAGCAATACGAGATGATTCAGATGACTCAATCTCTGCATATTTCTCAAAAGTTGTAATGCTAACAAACCAGATGAAGGCATATGGTGAATTAGTTACAGATCTGCAGAAGATAGAGAAAGTGTTGAGATCTATGACTGCAGATTTTGACTACATAGTAGTGACAATTGAAGAGGTCATGACTCTATCTGAGATGAAGTTAGAAGAACTTCAAGCTTCATTAGAGGCTCATGAGATGAGGTTGAAGCAGAGAAACTCAGAAAGAGAGAGTGTGGTTGAACAAGCATTGCAATCAAGATTCATCAAGAAATCTGGAAAAGAGAAATTGAAGCAACGAAAGAATCTTGTTGGTGATGAGAAGTCAAGCAAGAATACTGACTCGATCAAAAAAGGTGTGGGCAACAAGTATTCTGGGAAGAAAGTTAACACGAAAGAGGTATAATGTTACAATTATCAAGGTTTTGGTCATTATGCTCAAGATTGTAGAAGAAAGAAAGTAGCGAAGGTGAAAGATAGTGATGAAGTTCAATATGCACGAGCTGAAGATATTGATTCTGATGATGTGTTGTTAATGGTCAACACTCACTCGAACACTGAGAAAAATAACATGTGGTATCTGGATTCAGGATGCAGCAACCACATGACTGGAAATAAAAATTGGTTTACCAAGTTAGATGAGTCAGTCGAAAAGGTGATAAAATTTGCATATGGCAGACACATTAAATCGGGTAGTAAAGGAGATATTTCAATTTTCAGAAAGAATGGTCGAAAGGCCACCATCAATGAGGTATTGTATGTACCTTCTATGACAAATAACTTGACAAGTGTAGGTCAATTACTTGCAAAAGGTTTAAATATGAAGTTATAAGAGAATCAGATGAAGGTGTATAGAGATCATGGGAGGTTGATAATGAAAGCATCATTGGCATAAAAAAAACCTTTAAAGTTAAACTCAACACATCAGATCACAAGTGTTTTTCTTTAACTATAGAAGAAGATAAGAACTGACAATGGCACTATATGTATGGATATTTAAACTTCAAAAGTTTAAGTATGCTCAACTAAAAGAGGATGGTATTTGGGTTACCGTGTGTAAAGGAACCAAAGCAGGTATGCGAGGAATGCTGCAAAGCAAAACAGGCTAGGAAAACGTTCAAACATGACTTTCCTATGAAATCAAAGAAAAAACCAGATCTGGTTCATTCTGATGTGTGTGGACATTTTGAAGTAAAGTCAAATGGAGGTGTGATACGGTGGGAGAACTGACTTGAAGGTTTTGCATTTTATCGCAAATGTTGCGGTTAGCAAGAGTCGCCACCGACTTTTCTTTTATCCAAAAGGAAAGGTGAAAAAGCATAGGAAAGACCTTTGAGATTTTTTTCTTGAGTTCGGGGGGGTAGATTACGAAACGGGGAAGGTATTAGCACCCTTTTCATCCATGGTTTTTCATGGGCTCTTAGTTACTTGCTAGATCACTTGCTTTTTGTTTGAAATTGTGCTTGGTGTGGTTTTGTTGAAAGTATTTTGTAAAGAGGTCATTGTTTAGGTAATCTTCGTAATGATTCTTATTTGTAAGAATGTATACAAAGATGTTTGATCTTTTGAAAATGATTTCAAGTTTGTAAGATGTTTGAAAGTGTAAGTGTTTGTTTTGAAAATAGCAAGGATGTTTGTTTGAAATTGAGCAAGTAATTAGGAGCATTCTACCTACTCAAAAGTCTTTCTTGTTCATTTTCCTTTTCCTTTGACATTGTTATCTTACCGTTGATTTGGTAAGTAACCCTATCTTTGAATGTAAACGGGACGTGCGTGGGTCATCGTATAACCATGATTAGCAATGTTGCACGGTATCTTAGCATTCTCTTTTAGGGACTAAGATCATTTGAAAGGCAACTTAGATAGCGCCATCGAGGGACTATGATCTTGTATTTGCTTGTTTTTGCTAAGATACCTTACATGCGTAATATGACCATTTTGTATAAGGTAACCAAGTGGAATAACCCTAGGGGTATTTGTGTGCAATTGTATTGTTTTCATGCTTGTTTTTGTCTTGAATTAGGTTTTTCTAAGTATTGGTTTTAGTCTTTCCATACAAACCCTAATTACTAGCATTTGTATATAAAAGCGATTAAATTGCGGAATTTAAAGTTACTACGCTATTACAACATTTGTGGGAGGGGGTGTACAAATTGAATGGGGATTGCAAGAATGTAAACCTAGTTATTCTATTACAACCATATTGAATTGGTATCAATGTACAAAGAATTTAAATGGATACAATGTACAAAATGAATAAATGTACAAAAATGCAAAATGTAAAGAAAATGGATCTTTGTTTGGTTTTCATAAGAGAAAGGGAAATTGTCTTAGCCTAATTAATTAAAGAAAATAATTAATTAAACTTAAATTTATTAAGAAAAGATTTTAAATAAAACTCTAGTTCTATTAATTAATCAAAAGAAAATGAGTTTAAGAAAAGTATTATTTGGTATTTTTGTCTTGAAAATATTTATAGCTTTATAAAATATTTTTAGTCTTTTTTATATCAAAAATAATATATTTTAATTAATGTGAAAGAAAATAACTAATAACTTAGTTTTAATTAAATTTACAAGATAATAAGTAAAAATAAATAAAGTATAGTTAATAAAAATATTTTTTGTGAGAAAAATAAAAATAAAAAAGCCAAAATATAAATCTATCATTTTTTTGTATTTTT